TGTACTGGAGCCATATACAATGTATAGTATATTGCAGATATTCTGAATGTGGGTGCAACGTAAGCTCACTGGAGCCATATATAATATATTGCAGATATTCTGAATGTGGGTGCAACGTAAGCTCACTGGAGCCATATATAGTATATTGCAGATATTCTGAATGTGGGTGCAACATAAGCTCACGTACTGGAGCCATATACAATGTATAGTATATTGCAGATATTCTGAATGTGGGTGCAACGTAAGCTCACTGGAGCCATAGTATATTGCAGATATTCTGAATGTGGGTGCAACGTAAGCTCACTGAAGCCATAGTATATTGCAGATATTCTGAATGTGGGTGCAACGTAAGCTCACTGGAGCCATATATAGTATATTGCAGATATTCTGAATGTGGGTGCAACGTAAGCTCACTGGAGCCACAGTATATTGCAGATATTCTGAATGTGGGTGCAACGTAAGCTCACTGGAGCCACAGTATATTGCAGATATTCTGAATGTGGGTGCAACGTAAGCTCACTGGAGTCACAGTATATTGCAGATATTCCGAATGTGGGTGCAACGTAAGCTCCCTGGAGCCATAGTATATTGCAGATATTCTGAATGTGGGTGCAACGTAAGCTCACTGGAGCCATAGTATATTGCAGATATTCTGAATGTGGGTGCAACGTAAGCTCACTGGAGCCATAGTATATTGCAGATATTCCGAATGTGGGTGCAACGTAAGCTCACTGAAGCCATATACAGTATATTGCAGATATTCTGAATGTGGGTGCAACGTAAGCTCACTGGAGTCATATATAATATATTGCAGATATTCTGAATAATGTGGGTGGAAGATTATAAAAACAGTGAAATTAACATTTGACATTACATTTTTTGTGTTGAAATATAGATTGGGGAAAGTGAAGATACTAATTTAAGATTTATAACGTTCAAATTGGACAGTAAAATATGGTGAATCTAATAACACATTCATTCACGCTACAAGAAAGCAATCATGTATGAAACACACCACCGAAAGAAACCTTAACTGCAATGAAAATAAAACCATTTATTTAAAGCTACTCATGCACCCTTAAATATATTTATACTAGATGTAATATCGGCATGTTAGTTCATGCAGATGATTGTTTTAACTATATGTGATGACAACAAGTGTTATGTCACGTGAAATGTGAAGCTAATAACATTTATTATGCTAAGTGTTTTTTTGCTTTTTATTATTATTAAAAAAGAAAGGGAAATTGTTTTTAGCAGGTAGGATGGCAGAGATCAATCACAACAATTTTGTCATGTCATTTCCAAATACTTACAGCATACTGGGTACATGCAGAAGACAGGCCAACAAAATGTCCAATGATACAAAAATACGACATTATGATATTGCGCCAATTCAGAAGCAATTGATTTTTGAGGTACAACATTGCAGGTGTGCACACAATCATAAACAATATTGGGCATGCAATGGGGTGGAAAGAGAACAAAAAACAGGGTTATTCATGCAATGAAAAGTCATCAAATATATAACAACATTAGAGTTAAATTAAAAACACACTCAAGGGAAGTACATGTAAGTACTAAATGAAAATTAAACAGTAAAATATTTAAAAAAAAAATTGAAATTAATAATTATCAAAAGAGTTTTTCTCTATCTTTTTTTCAGATGATGCAGGAGAAACATCACGACTGAGAGGCTGAATAGAGTTCAAGCCACAGAGAATGGCCATTGAAGAAAGGTTGGAGTATTATGTACAGCAGTAGACTATATAGCAGTTATGGAGTCAGTCTGCAAAATGTCATCAGATGTAACCACATATATTGATATATATATATATAACCAAACATGTGTATTTTACTTACCTTGCTCTTCATTGCAATTCTAACAACACCATGTTCAAGAAGATAAAAACCATCCCCCTCATCTCCCTAAAATTAAATACACCATCACTTAGTAAAACAATCCTAAATACTAAAAAGATTTAAAGCATTAACTGGGAGGAGAGAGAACAAAAGCAAGTAGTAGTGGCATTATCCCTATTGCAATTAGAGGAAATGTTATTCATGCCTAAATAAAGTGATATGGCCAAAAAGCAAGATGGCTGCAAGTCTGTCGACTTTTATCTGATCACAAATTGAATAATAATAATGAATTTATTGCATCCTTAAAAATAATTGCCATTGGTTGACAGCAATAAAATGTTAGTAATAAAGTACAATACATATAAAACTAAAGTAAAAGTAAAATGTCAGTTATTGTTATTTCTGATTTCAAATATTTTGTATAAGTATTCACCAACTTGTCTTATTAGTACGTCTTCTCTTAAACTCATAATATATTTAAATATCTGGTCATCACTTTTCAATTCTTTTTGTTATGGATATGTATTGCTACATACATAATATATGCAACCATATTGGATGCAAATCAGTTGTCATGTGACCAGGTATTGTTTTTGAACTGATTTGTAGTGTATGATCAGTAATTGAGAGTGAATAACAAAAATCAGATATATTTAATGACTTCTAAATTGAAAATCTAATATATGGTCACAAACTTTCTATTTGTTATTTTTTCATATTTATGCAGTTTTTATTTACAAACTCAAGTAAAGCGCACGTTTCCAGTATTATAAGCATGTGCCAGCTTATTTAATATGTTACCCAATGACATCGCTTTGTAACAATGTTTTCATAGTGGGAGATTAAGGCATTTTACAATTTAAGTCAAACATCATGTGTATCAAGTAACTATCGTAATCGGTTGTAAGAGCTAACATGCCTCCTCAGGAAGAAATATTGCCATTCATGAATTCATTGGCAACCAGACTCACTCATGTTAATTAATGATCTATGTAAAAAAAAATTTCATTTATTAATTTTGTTTTATTACTGTCCACGTCAAATATGCTAAGAGGTCTTATGTCTGCTACTAAATACCCTTGCTTGTCGTTTATAACCTCTAATAATAATGTATATGATATGATGAATGTATAACATTTGAATGCAATCAGTTAAAGCATGTCAGAGTTATGGATTTGAAACAGCATTTGTTAAGGAGGTTTGAGCCAAATTCAAGATTATGTCATGTGTTACACTTTCATCATAATGAGTTTATACCATCAGGACACCATAATAAAAACAATCAAGGAAAGCTTAGAAAGAACTTGGAAATTGAATACATGAAATAAATATAGTTCTGCTGTGTACGAATCACAATTGTCAAAGCAATTTGATCCAAAACATTGAAGTTGACAATACAAACAGAAAACCCTACTTACCCCCCCCTCCCCCATATTACATAATCCCGGAAAACCGATAGGTGTACAAGCTGATAGGTGACTGAAGTTTCTGGGACTACTTTATTGCATGTGTCAGAATACATACTTTTGTAATGGTGTTATATGTCACCTGATCACTTGAGTGTATTGATGTGTAAAAAAATAGTGCCATTGGTGTAACTGAAAATGGCAGAATAAACATGAAGTCAAATGTGACAGCTCTCTGGTTTCATGCGTTCCTGAGTCAACATATCACAGTGACAAATATTTTTTATTAGATTACATTACATGTGCAAAATTATTCTATACATCACAAATAACTTGTTTATCTTTTATGGTTAAACTAATAAAAATTATGCAAATTATATTTATTATTTAATTTGCACAGACGTCAACCGAAAAATAATCCTGCCTGTACACGATACAGCTCCAGAATGGCAGAAATGCTTGATATTGATCAAATGAATGTCATACTTGAATCAATTGTGAAACAAATGCATGTGCATATGTATCTTAAGATGCATGATGTGTCTGCATGAAATTTGAACATGATCAGGCCTGGCATGTCCAAGATGCTGGTACGAATACACACAAACACACAGAGGTCAATCCACAAGTCCCTATTACAAACTGAGACTAAAAATGGATGTATAGCTCCAAAAGATAATCTTACCTGTCGGATGATCTGTTCATCAGTTCTATACGACTTAGAACGAAGAGCATCAGCAAGATTCATTCGCTCATAAGGCTGAAAAGAAATCATATAGTATTATTAATTAATAATTTCTATACAGCTACCTGTATATTTAAACAAGCAGCCTATCGGCTGAGATAGCTCCGCTCCACATTTCAATTAAAGAACTGAAGACATCATTAGAAAATGAACAATATGTATAGTATCAAAGCAACAGGACTTACAGTTTTTAACAAGAAGTCGAAAATATCACTTTCTACCAAAAATGACAAAAATATTCACCAAAATTAGAGAATTAAAGATATCATCACGAAATGAACAAATCTGAGAAAGGTCTACATGTAGTATCTACATGTATATATGTAATATCAAAGCAATTGAACTTTTGGTTTTCAACAAGAAGTCGAAAATATCACTTTTTACCAAAAATTACAAAAATATTCACCCAAATTAGAGAATTGAAGATATCATCAC